TGCTTAGTCCATGAACATTTAAACCACGTTTGACCATCCAACTTAACTGACTGACACGGACAAAGACACTTCACAGCTATGCTCAACAGCTCTGTGAGAGGCCTGTGTGGCAGACAGCACAGCTTGCACGGATGCTTCTCCCAGTCTAGTGTTTCATTTGGCCCAGAAATTCTGGGGGCTGGATCACATGGATTGCTTTACTCATGAATGCTGAGGGAACTGGTAAATTGCATGGATCAATACTGAGGCTATTATGCTCAATCTTTAGTGTTCCACAAAACTGTGGAAGCAGCCCCTGCTAGAGAGGGAAAAGTGACTTTTTCTGCTGAAATATAGTTTCTGTACTTTACTACATTTCAAACCAGAATGTGTCAGTCCCATGAGACAGCTGGTAAGTGAATAGCATCCACATTATAGCACATCAGCTTTACTTAAGCGAAGTTCACTCTCTCAGGAAAGATGATACCATTTTTTTGTTCAGCAGAAAAAGCAGCCACCATGAAACAGTGAATTACATGAAAGCAGCAAGTAATTCACTGGAAGACATTTAGAACCATAGTTCAAATTTACATCTAGGCCAGACAGTCATCAAAAAAAAAAAAGCTCCTGGTAGCAAAGAGAAGGGAAAAAATACAGAATTTGTCATTGCATGATCTCATGCCACTTTGTGGACTTTGGGTAATAGCAGATTAATCACAGTGGAACGCATCAGCAAAGCTGATTTTACATCGTTAAGGAGAAAGGCATTATATTGGAGATAAAAGACAACCTCTTCAAATAGTTGCCTGAAACTCAAGCTGACCCCCTGAGTGGTATCATTTTGATGTTGATGAAGACTACTGCTTATGCTTTTCTCTACTGTTATTTCTTCCACTTCTATGTCCACGTCCTGGTTTGGAATAATAACCAACCAGATTAAAAGGTCATCACTGAAGATCTTGTCTCATATTTCTGATTTCTTTTCAAGCAGGAAACATCATAAACATCAGAAGAGAGACTGCTCTAAACATAGTTTCCCCCTTATTTCAACATACAAGAATTTCAGATAAATGCAGATCTAAGTACTTTTCTGGCATCCCAAAAGACACTGACATTTTCACATCATTTAATGACAAATAAAATACGTTTTAACTCAGGGTATGGAAAGCACTGAAATATTGTCTGAATATCCCTGCAGAGCAAATGAACAGAAGAAGTTTCTACCAGCTGGAGACCTTGCTGATCAGCGAACGTTTTCTTAGTTTGCATAAAAGTAGCAGAGTGCTTTATGTCTCTTGATTTCTTAGGCAAAATGGGTTCCCTGTCACCTTTCAGATATGATAGAGATCCACTCTAGCTTTACTTGTAAAGCTGAGAAATCACTATAGCTGAACCACACAAATCTTGCATGAGAATTAACTTTTGTAAATGGAATAGCAACTTATACATTTAATACAGCTGTTTGATTAATATAGACAAGCTCCAAACGAACAACCACTGAAAGACTTCGGATAGTGAGAACACAAACCATATCATTCTTATTGGATGCATCCCTACCTCATGGAGTGACAGTAAAACCTTTCATGTTCTGAATTCAGGTTGAAAGAAAAGTATCAAGAACTTTGCCTAGCTGAGCCTTCATCTTCATCAGCTAAGTCTGCAGGGTGCTTTGCACATTCTGTCCATTGCTGTAGCAACCCAAAAATAGCTGTAAGCATCTCCAGCTGATACTGGTTTTTTAAAATAAGCCAAGGGTTGACTGCACTTCAAGTGAGGAGAGTTTATGTCTTATCTTCATAGTTTCTTTGATAATGGTAATTTTTGGGAATGCTACCAAAAGGGGAAGAAAAAATATCCCAAGCAGAGTTCCTAATTATAAGCTGTGGGTATAAGGCATATTATCAGTTCTTGACCTGGTAACAGACTGTCACATGATACTGCTGTTCCTTTTCTACCTTCTTGATTCATCCAAAGGTGTTTCCTCTGCCAGTCATCTGACAGAAACAAATCTTCTGGCTTTCATTAAGTTTCTAGAGCAAAAGAGCCATAGTACTGACCTGTCTCAAGTTTAGACATTTTACTTTGTCCTTGACGAAGCAAAGTTCCCAGACACACACAACTGAACTCGTTCCAGACGTGATTATGGTAGTCGCTGAAGGGCACACAGCGCAGAGGCACTTTCCCCAGTCTACCATGCACTCAAATATAGTCATGTTCTGTACAAGAAAGCAGCTTTAAGTCAAATGCTCATCTGGTAATACAATGCATTTATTAATACTAAATAACGGATTCAATTTTCAGAACTGACTGTCCACTTCTTCACATCCAGGAATGAAAAGCTCATCTTAACCAGTCTCTATGCTTACAGCACAGCTGCATAATACATACATGCACAGGCTGCAGCTGCATACAGCTGTGCCATTCTCCAGGGGACAAACAGGAAGGCTGGACAAAGGTCAGTGTCTTATGTCTTCATAGACCTGAGCCCCAGTACTTCTCGTGCCACAGACTTCCTGCATGACTTCAGGCAAGCTCATTTTGCCACCATACAGTGACAGAATTCAAACATTCGATGTAGTTGGAAAGAAAGCTTAGGCTGTGGCGGTGACTGCTAACAGGGTTAGTGCTAGGCTCTGCAACCCTCCTCTTACTTGGACTGAGAAGCCAAAAGCCAAAGCACTAAATTCTATTCTGTGCCAGCAGCACTCAAACCAGCCTAAACTAAGGTCAGGTCTATTACACATTGCTACAGTTATAGCACAGACATCCTTCTGCTCGCATTTTGCATTAGCTCTTAGACAACACCATGGTGCTAATGGTTCTGGTGGAGCTGGATGGCACAGCTACAGAAAACATACCACAGAGAGAATGAACATTTACCTACTTACAGTAAGGGCAAAAATGTCTTTTAAGCTCATGTCCAGAGGTGCTGTTGACTGAGAGAGAACTCAAGCTGGATTCCCAACTACTTGTCATAGGGACTGTGGAATCACGCTCAGTGTTGCTAGGCTCAGTGACACCCCGACTTTTGAAGAGACAAAACAATTTATACCTACAGCAGCACTATGAGCACTGATTTTAATTGAAGTTAATGGTGAAAAACTCTCAATAATTTTATACAGGAAAAGTAAAATACATCTCATGTCTTTTTCATTTCCATTGACTGCATGTCTGTAAAAACATAATGATGTGACTTGCACGAATACCCAAGTGAGTATCTTGCTGAGTGACATATTCTGCTACCCAAGCTATCTCAGATGTCTGTGTGTCATAACATCATCCCAAACATAACCAAAAATCAGTGTGGTTGTGGTAGAGGAAAAAACTGGGTCTGTCAAGTGCCCTAACAAGCAGTGTGATGACACAGATCATTGATTTTTAACAGCAAAGAAGTACGAGTATTAACTTTCTAGAACTGAAGACATTATTATTTTGAATGAATGCACTGGGCTAAGCATGGGAGCCAGAGGGGAATTGACAGATGGTCCTATCTTAATTCCAGCAGAAAGTTCTGCACAATGAAATTTCTAATTAGTGGCCAGGAGACCTTGTATTGTCCTTACAACCTATGAAGTTGGGTTTCTCCTTCATTTTGACGGACAACATAAGTCACTGGAAGGAAAACTTGAGATAATTTAGAGGGGAAATGTCACATTTTTCAGCAGGGTATAAGGCCTTTATACTCTGTTGGGATACCTAACTTGAGATTCCTCAAGAAGCTTGACTTTGAGAAAGTCCTATACAGCATCCTCTGAAATCAACTCCCAAATAGCCTCTGAAACGAGTGCCCAAACTAAAGACCACACCTATCATTCATTCCTGAAATTCGTAGACTTTGTCTTATTTACCTTCTCAGATCCATAGTTGCCAAAGCAGCAGGTGAAGTCCTCAAATCCCCAGCAGAATGTTTTGCTCCAAAGAGGAGGAATCAAAACTTTATTTTTTTCGACAGCCAGAATGCCTTTCTCAGTATGAACAATGTGCCCAATAGCTCCCTTTGGATAGTCTGACAAGACAGAGAACATATTTAATGCTGCTGGTTTTGGGGCACTTATGGTAACTTTCCTCCTTGCACAGCTTGTGTGGTGCGGTTGTCAAGTCCTAGAAGTGGGCTCAGTGCTGTGACCAGGCCCACAGGCAGAAATCACACTCTACAACTGAGATCCCAGACAGAATAGTGGAAACACCCGTCTCCAGCAGACCACACAGATCCATACAGAGGGAGTGATGTACTCCAAAGGAGAGGGTTTAACAGCAGTACCATTAAGCTCCTTTTCATTGGCAGACTGCCTTATACAATGCACTACAAAGGATGCCAGACATGTCACAAACAGCCTCTGTAGTACAGCTACGGGAGCCTGCCATCCCCACAAAGATGTGTGATATAAAGAAAATCACTGTGGAATTAAAAAGTAGACACACTGAAGTTTTCTGGGCTTCTTCATGGTAAGAAAAGTAGCAGACTAAGAAAAAGATGAAGAGAAAAAAACATTTAAAGATTGAGAAGAGGAGAAAAGACAGATGATACTTACTTTGCTGTTGAATATAAAAAGATAACAAAAATGGAAAACAGTGAGCTTTTTCATTTAACATATTTGGAATGCAGAAGAGAGAAAAGATTCAGGTTTCATTAAAAAAAAAATCTGTTCTAAACTCTACAACAGAAGTTTCAATATTTCCAAGTATTTGAGTGTTTTCAATGCCCGCTCACAATGCACACATACACAAACAACAATTGGCAGAAGGCATCTTGATTGAACCGACTCATACAAAGCTGTGTGACTGTTTTTGTGCTTTTGAAAATCCAGATTCACCCCATCCAAGGATTATGTACTACTTAGCTCAGAAAATGGAGCACAGCCCCTGCAGTACCTTTTATTGTAACTGGTGAGAGCTTCAGATTTTGCAGGCTGCTCATAAGAGGAGGAAGAATTCCACCTGAGAGAAGGGACAGCACAGTCTCTCTTCCCGATGAACTTTTCCCTTGGGCATTTCTGGACGGATGTGGTTTAGTGAAGAGCTAGAACAAAGGAATGGCATTGAAAATTAATCCCTATTTGCCAGACCACTCAGGAGAGATATCTGTTTAAATCCTTAATCATAGACTCCAGGATTGTTATACATGAACCTCTTCATTAAAATAAAATCTTACCCTCATTACATTTTTGTCAGACTACATCCCTTCCCCACAGAGACAGGAAGCTAATCCCAGCAATCTGGGAGAAGAGGGAAAAGTATAGGTGAGACTTTGAGCTGCTTTTATTTGACTGTACCCCTTCCAAGACTAGTGGTTACTCGTGTGACTGTACTGAAGGAGCAGAACTCAGATCTGATGCCACAGCTGTACGAGATACAACAGGAACAGCATGATTGGAAAGCGGAATCACACACACATGTGGGTGTAGACTGATGTAGCACACAATAAGGAGACATCTATAGCCCATCTTTCAGCAGATTTAAATCAGAAAATTTCTCTGATTTAAGTTTCTATTCTTGCTTTCCAGTTTAAATACTACAAGATCAAAATAAATTATGCTCTCTACTCTCATGTTAAAGTGGTACCTGCTTTGGTATCTGCCCAAAGTTGCTGACAAAACCCAGGATGGTGCTCTTAATCAGAGGATCTTTAATGTTGTTGAGGTTCATCTTATCTCCGTAGAAGTAAGGGTGATAGGTGTTAACTGCCTCCACTGCAGCTGAGCCATGTTGTTTGTGACCAAAAATCAGATCTATCCAGCGATGAAGGTGTGCACTGACATAGTCACTTTCCAGTGCCTGAAACCAAAAGAAAGTTAATTAGTACAAAAGAGTGTATCCATTACAAATGCCTTACCACTTTCCAATACCTGCTGGAGACATAAATTCTCTGCAAGTGAATCTTCACACTTTTCAGTTCCTCCAGTACCATCATCCTTGCAAAATGTGACCAAGGAGATGAAGGGTGGATCCTCACAGGAAACAAGCAGGTTCCACTAAGCAAAGTGCAAGCACTCTACAAATCTTGGCACATCCTCCAGCTTCCAGCACACATTAAAGCCTGTGTTATTGCACCTTCATCAGCACTGTTACTGACACAAGATGGTTTAAATGAGCAAAACATTTGTTAACATTTGGTATCACCACTTCGCTCTATAGATGAACCACAGGTGAATTAAGGTACTAGTTTACTTGTAGAAATATGCCTTAGTTATGAATCACATTGACTAGCAGAGGCTTTATTTGAGAAGATACATATAAATATAGATTGGAAAGGGAGATCACTAGCAGATGGGCTTTAAGTTGGGTCTGAAGGATACAGTGGGAAAGGTTGTGTGCCATGAACCATCAAAGAGAATGAAGAGGTTGTACTGAAATGGCAAGGGGTAATGCGAGCCAAGACAGGGAAAGGGTTTTGCAAGGGGGTGCAGCGGGGCAGCTGTATGACAGAAGTTTCAAAACTGCTTGGGTTTGATCAAGAAACATTTTGCTACCCTCACAAGGCTTTAGGAGAGAGAGTCGTAGCACCAGATTCCCTCATCCTGGAAAAACTCAGGGTCTGAACTTTTTTCCCCAAAATAAGAAATGGTTAACTTTGATTAGATAGCCTACCCGTAGTGACAAGTATGTGGGTTAATGGAACCAGAAGAAACAGTTACTACTGGACATGACTGGGAGAGATGTTACAAGGCAATATATCCACCCCAATGTGGTCTCCCTAGAAAGATCAGTGTAATCATAGTGGAAAACTTGTGCTTGGAAGACCCAGACAGCAAGTCCATAAGCAGTGGACACAAGTTTGAGTTGAACCTTTGCCCACCTCCAGGTTAACTAGCCTTACCCATGAGGCATTACTAAATGCTACTGCCTCTGTCATCACCTACCTCACCAAATTTTTGTGCATTCACAAATGGCTTTGCCCAATGAGTCAAACAGTAGTGTTAAGCATTATTAAAAATACTTTCCTATCTCCAAATCATTTGACTGTGCAATACTCCCTGATGCTCAGTTAAAGGTCTCCCAAGCAGACCATCCCACCCAAAGCACAGCAGAAATAAACAAGCTAATGGGATCCAGAACAATGGCTCATTTCACAGAGCAGACAGATAGCCCAGTGCAGCTGGTTTAAATGACCCTGCCCACAGCTGTAACGATCACAGGGCAGCTTGGAGAACAAGCACAGCGTACAATCTGTCCCCTGCAAGCAACAGGAAAACACTTATGAACAGACTCAGAACGCATCCTCATTAATAAAAGCAGTTAGTCCATGAATTACAAACTGTAAATTTTGCCTGGCATCACTGCCAGAGCAAAACAAAGCAACCAACAGAGCTGCAACTGTGCAGCCTCTCAGTATTTCACTGAGCACTACGACAAGCCCAGCCAGAGAGGGAGAACTTGCAGTCTAAGGAGGAAGTAAATAAATTTCTTCAGTAGACTAGATTCTTAACTTATTAAACATGAAACAGGAAGCTACTCACTGTTTTATGTCACGAACAATTCTTTGTCCTCATATTCTTTAAAGTAATAGCCAAACCTCAGAACAGTGTTGACCTGGATCCATTTAATGCACCAAACTCACTGCGAAGCCTGCTAAAAATGACCATGATACCAGTAACAGGTACATCCAGTCTTGTGGATAATTTCAGAGGAGACAGAAACCCTCATGTTTCAGCATTCAAGATCTCCAACTCTTCACTTCAGGGTTAGATGAACTTTCCCAGGCAGGCTAATCAACTTTATTTCCACAGCAAGATTTCTTGCTCTCTCCTGTGTAACATCTAGTACTAGCTGTGGTTGGAGAGAGAATATTGGACTGGCTGCACATGATGTCTGATCAGGTCTGGCAAATAATTACGAAAACAAGCTTATAAACATGATCTTTCATTTTCTAAACGGCTTCTATTTGAGATTTGAATTAATTTGTAAAAGTTGTGTGGCTTTATCAGCTGTGCCAATGTTATCAAGTAGTGCAGCTCAGAGGAAGCAGAACTGTAGAACAGAACAGATGGTAGAGAGGGCCCAGTACCCACATTACATGCACTGTGGGGGCTTTACATCAAACTAGATCTAGTCTGCTTCCACAGGTTGACTGCCACCAGCATCTGGAGTGCAGCTTTTGGTTTCATTTCATCCAAAACATGTCTAGTTCACACAATCTGAGATCACTCTACAATAAAGAGCAAAACCGTGCTATGCAGGGATGGTTGATAGATTAATTTCCAAACTGCATCCTTATTCCAAAGTACAAGGCAAAAGCAGATGCTCCCCACATTGTATTTAAGTGCCTTCAGAGTGCCTACCATTATGCAAGCAGCAAGGAGCACAGCTCAGTACATTACACTGAAAATAAGCCATAATATGAGGGACAACATTTCTCCCTACATTTTTATTTAAAAAACATCAGTGTAAAATTGCAGTGGCTTTCAGGAGTCCATGGATTTCTGCGTGCAGCATCTCTGTTAGGGAAGGACAGTGTTGTCTTTCTCACATTTGGGAAACTGGAGTACAGAGACTAAGCACCTTGGAAGGTCACAGAGAGATCACAGGACAAAGCAGAGAAAGGAACCAGAATGCCTCAAAACCTTCATGCTTTTATTGGAGTCACTGGGGAACATGAGAAAACTGTTGCATGTTTGACCTCAGTGGCCAAAACCTGCTATTTCCCTGCAAGGGAAGGGATTGGGTAGTCTCTATGCTCAACTCTTCATTTTAACAAGGACTTGACTATGAGCAGTAAGCCTGCAGTATGCACAACACTTACACAAGGATCTTCTTCCTCATAGTAGATGCACCATCGTGTGGTTATGGGTGCTGACAAACTCGATCATCTCTTCCCTTCCACCACCTTTCAGTGTGACTAGAGCTCCAAGCCTCCAAATCACTCTAGGCACTTTCAAAGATGTCTGACTTAGTAATACCTATTATTGTGTATGTACAGAAGCTTAAGCAGCCTGAACAAAGCCCTTAATCAAATCTCAGTTCTTTGGCAAAAACATTCTCTCCTTATCCCCTCAACTAACAGGCTGCAAACAGGCATGGGACAGAGAAATGAAAGTCAGATTCTGGGGGAAATCAGACAATGAATAGTGTTTGCTTTCCAACTCAAAGCAAAATGCTCAACTCTCAAATTTTCTCATGTATTAAAATCTTCCCCACCCAACTGTAAGTCTGGAAAAATTACATCCTTTTATTTTACTAATAATGAATCTGTACACCATACAGTGTTAGTTATAACAGCTACATCATGAAATAAAATATTTTCAGCTCACCCTGTAATCCAAGCACTGCAATGAAAAGATATTTTTGAAGTGTTTTGATAACAAAGACAAAAAGTCGAAACCATTTATTGAGACATTTTCTTGTTACTACTGACACACTCCTATTTCAACCTGACTGGTTTTCTGGTGAAAAACTCTTCCATACTTTTTTTCCCCATACAGGTTTACTCACTGTGTGATCTGAATTACACATGTAACCGCTGCAGAAATACAAGGCAAAACAAAGACCAAGAAGATTAATGTATCTTCTGTAAACGGTCCGATTATTTACTGAATACGCCGTAAATGCAATGTACTGGCTTAAGTTACTAAACTGTGTGGCCATCTATCACTGAGTCAAGCTACCAGGCGTGGAGGCACTTGAGACCTGCTAATAATAGTAAGCAGCTATTCTCCACATCACATAACCTGAATATCATTACTTCACAAGCTTTTACATATGGAGGCAGGATTCCGGGGCAAAGAGTGGAAGATGACTACTTTCCATCACATTTTCAAAATTACTGATAAAAAAATATTTCATAAGTACATCCAAAAGTTATCATTTTCAAGATAGGTAAAGTAGCAAGCTAGACATTTAACTCCTTTCAAGTATTTTTTTTAGCATTATTGTTCTGACACATATGTAAAGTGAAGTGTTCAAGTCATGAATTCACAACAGAGATGAAGAGAGCTTCTTAATCAATTAAAGCAAAACATGAAATACCTCATTATATGCTCAACAGTTCCCGAAAAGAAAAAAAAAAGGCAAAATTAACTGCACTAAAAAGTAAGTAAGCACAGACTCGGATCATATCCATGTTCACTCACAGGAGTAAACTGAGCACATGTGAATCAATCCAGAATTGAACAGGTTCACTCTCATACCCAGAGTTACTAAGAAGTCAAAGTGTTTGCAGCATCAGAAACCTACAGAGACAGCGTGGGATGCATGTGCTACAAAGCACTGTCTTGTCTTTGCAAATTAATATTTTAACAGCAATTAATTCTTCACAAGATATGCAGATGGTGCACGTTACCAAGAGCCTGTTCTCTCAAAACTGGTTTACTAGAAGAAAATTTTCTTCAGGATGGATTCACAGCCCATACATCAGCTTATAAAGGAGTTTTTGACTTCTTTATTTTTTAAACATGGATAAAAACAGCATTGCCAAACATGGGACTAAGGCTAGATTACTGACAGCACCCGGGTGGCTGCAGGGAGAAAGAAATGTAAGAAGAGGACAGAACATATAAATTAAATAGATGTGTAGGATCTCAAGAGGGAAAGGAGAGAAATTTTAGGTCTAAGGAGTGGAGCCATACAGAAATTCAAACCATAAGGGCATTGGAAAGGAGATTTGTACATAATGCCAGACAACGAAGATGGTCCTCTTCCAGTTGTCTCTGTACTGACTTGAAACAAGGTATCAGAACATCAGAGAGAACGAGATGAAGATTCAAGAATTCAAGATAATGACCAAGAGAAGCACGGAAATGATTTAGTAGTATGGACAATCACAGAAAGGACGGCCTTGGAATGCAGCACAGAAGTGCAAAGCACGGGACATGAAAGTAAGAGTAACTTAATGGGAGCACTGTGGTTGCTGTCAATTGTTAAGTGAATAGTGGAGAAAAGAATATTTATAAGGTCAGAGTATGACTCTGGTTTTGTTCAAATCAGGAACAAAAATTTGAAGCAGTCAGTAAGAAGGTCAGAGACAGGATTTAGGAACCAGCATTTAGAAAGGTCAACTGAGGAAAAGCTTATGTGGAGATATCAAAATAGAGAAGATGGTTGTAGCCCACAGGTTTGGATGCAATCACCTACAAAGAGATTATACAGTGTGAAAGCTGAACCCCCAAGGGCAAGACCCGCATAGCATAGGGGAAGTGGGAAGAACCCACTGAGGCAGAAACTGAAGGTACACATGACAAACCAGGATGAAAATCATGAACTATTTGTTTAGTCCCAGCAGTGCTAACACATATAATCATCACACTTCTTGTACACAACAACTATCTGCATGCACTCACAAGTACTGATTGACTCGACAAACCAGGATGAAAATCATGAACTATTTGTTTAGTCCCAGCAGTGCTAACACATATAATCATCACACGTCTTGTACACAACTATCTGCATGCACTCACAAGTACAGATTGACTCCTTTTCCTGGAGGAAATCTCATGAGATAGCACAGGGGCACTATAGTACAGCCCAGTCTCTTTTTCAGCTCTAACAAAAAGAGAGACCTACACCAAGATATTCTGCTGCAAAGCCTGTGTTCAGTGCAACAACCTGCATACAGAATTGCCTTTGCACTCACTACTATGCAGCAGGTGACATCATACAGAAGACATTCTTCTTATTAACATATAGCACTAATTGCAGTCACGTCTCATGACATTTGCTTTAAATTGCCAAGGCTGACTCCATTAAAGATGGGAAATCACATTAGGTTCCCCTTCAAAAATCAACAACTGTATTCCTCGCATGACTCAGAGATTGAGGTAGATAGTTTTAAATAAACACACATCTCATTAGCAAGAACGGGGAACTATTTGCTTATAAATGCCATGGGCATGCATTATGTTATATTCACATACACTTATGGCCTGAGATCCACGTCACTGACCTAGAAACAAACCTCACCTGCTCTGGAAAGTTGGCCTTGATTCAGAGTGAATTGTTAGGCAGACAAGCAGACATGCAAAGTTCACAACTCACACAAACTCCACAAAGACAGAATGCATTTGGATCTAAAGTTCTGGTTTGTGACTCTGGCCTTCAGAGTTTCATTTTCAGTGGGAGCCAGTTCAGCATTTTGTCACAAATCTTGATATTCACTGACCTGTCTGTGCAGGAGAATGAATTTATGAGGGTCCCCATCTGCCCAAGGTGGAAGCTGCACATCTCCCAGCACTGTTCCATCTTGCATGCAGCCTGCAGGAATTAACAGAGAGAGAATTAAGAATAAGAATGACACACATTGCAAATAGGAACAGCTTTTCTAACACACTGAAGTCCAAGGAAATTGAGGTGATTTTCACACATGCAGTGTCAGGTTCTACATCAAATACAGTGCCACAGAACATTGCAGAACCAGTTTCTCCTAGGATTTCTGCTCCAGTTATAAAGCTTGGAGGAGATGTTCTAGCAACTGTTGCTTATACAGTAAAAACATGCACATTCTCAGCACAAATCATTTTAGCACAGACTACAAACTCAGGCAAGACAAACTTGTTTGCACAACTTTCTTTTTATTCATAATCTTGTGGGCCTAACTGCCAGATATTCCCACTAAAGCAGCCACCGAGACAGATTTTGTTATCAAGTCCTTTGCAATCTGATTCCTTTCAGGAGGTGAGCATGTGTTCTTAAATCAGAGCACAGTGTCATGCAACTGTTTGAATTCAAATCTAAGCTAAGGCTCAGGTCTGGGATCACAAGTTTCCTTACAGCGTAGCAGTGAACAGATTCAGGTTCTTATCTTTGTTGTAAAATTGTCCTGTATATTTGCTCTCTATTGAAAAGATTTTGGTGTCTTTTTTAGGTCTCTCCACTTGATTCCACTCAGGTCAATCTCTGGATCTTGATTTCAGCCAGACTCTCTTTCTTGGCCTCCTCTCAAGATGAAACTACCCCATTTTTTTACTATCTTTTAACAGTCTTCTAATACCTTCTACCCATTCTGCTTTTTTCTTATGTCTCATTTTGCTAAGGTCTTAAATACTTAACAGCTGGACCTCAACATCATGGGTTAAGTTGCCTTTGCCATCACCAATTTAGGATGATTCTTAAGGTATTTGTCCTCCGTCTAATTGTTTGTGTCCACTACAAAAAGCAGCTTTGCATTGCAAATGATGTGAACTTCCTGTACAGTGAAGTGAATCAGGTCTACTATGCCTATTTTTGAATACTATTTTTTCTGGATTCTCTTTGACCCTCCATCACTGATGCAGGAAGGTCTAGAGACAGTGTATATTTAGAAGGGATTGTGAAGCTGTTTGAGGCCAGGGATGATATATCAAGCTCATGTGACTTGTGCAGAACCTTTCAAAATGATAGTGAGGACATCTGGCAACTTTAACCACAAGAGGTATGAGATCTAAAAAAACACCTTTCACAAACACCATCTAACAATTGATCTGTCTCCAAAAGTAAAATTAACATATTGTTTATAGCCACACAGGTGTGGTGATACAGTCCAAATTTTCAAAAGCAGACAACTAGATTGCTTATATAAAAATCCATCTTTGTCTGACAAAATGTGCAATTCCTTTGCATAGTAACTAGTAGGAACTACAGTTCCTTCTCAGCTGGAAACTTGGAGGTTCTGATATCATTCAAATATCAGAAGGTTGACTTTTTGTAGCCTTATTTTAATAAAAAAATATCTCTCATCACAAGAGAGCCTCATCCGTCTTCACAGTTCATGGACAAACTCTCAACGTGTGATTTGGATCTTTTCCCTTAGCAGGATGCTGGGGAGCAGAATGGAAGCACTGAAGTCCCTCCTAGAACTTACCAAGTTCAAAGTGATTTGCATTGGTTAGGAACTCCGGCAAGTAGAAGAATTCAGGGATTAGTTCCCTGACATCACTCATGTTGTCCCTTGATGCTGATTCCCACGTGCTCTTGACACTGTGAAACATTCTGTCAGCAACATCAAAACTCCCACCCTGTGAAATGGAGATGGACAAAAGGACTGCAGTGTGAGTATTCTGTTAAATAAAAAGCAGGTGCAGAATCTTAGCCAAAAGATTTTTTGTTTCAAAAGAGAACTGAAAAGTGACAAGATCAAATTGTTTCTCAATACCTAATTCAGGTACTGGCAGCAGTATAACTGCCCAACTGCTGCATGCTCCCAGACTAATATATGTATTTCTCATTGGGATTAATTAATTTGGATTATCTGTCATGGGACATAATGCTATATCCCACTGCCAGGGCTCAAGAGATATTGTCAGAGACAGAACAAGTATCTTTAAATAGTTTGGCAGTGCAGTGAAAACACATGAATGATTGCTCACCCTCAACCCTTCAATCCTCAAAGCTGCTTCACTAGGCAAAAAGAACAAGCCAGCAGGATTGCAGAAAGAAGACACTAAAACCCAGAGGTGGTGCAAGAGTCAATCTGTTAATGAATATGAGATGCAGTCAGGTTCTGTTTATGGCTGACCTCTTCGAAAAACTTGATAGCTTTTGTTTAGTTTTCTCTCTGCCTGTAGACTGTTGCGTGTGCCAGATGAGGAGGATGCTGTTGTTCTGCACAGTAACAGTCAGCTGAAGCTTTGACTTGCAATTAAATAGGAAGATAACGTCTAAGTATCCTCATGGTGTAAGGATGGGATGCCACTCCCGTGGACAAGATGAGCAGCAGTTCCCACATTGGTTTCTGATGGTAAGAACCACAGCCCTTGTGATTTCCCAAGTACCTGCACACTTACAATGCACCTCCTTTGGATCTACAAACTTTGCTAAGTCTGGGAACTGAAAGTAAAAAAATACCTTTTGCCATATCCTTTGTTAGGAAGAAACTACCCTCGTGGATAAGCTATCAAAACACAGAAGTCATTAAAACTAAGTTCTGAAGCCATATCTCCTTGCTTTTGAGACAGACTTCAGCTACAAGTCAACACACATTCCAGATGGAGAGACCCCGTTGCTGTTTCCCCTGAGATGAATTCTGACCAGGCTTTTGGTCCAGCCTCATCTCTAAACGACAGCACAGTTGTGCTTTACTTCCTTGTATTTTATGTCCTCCTTCCTTACACCACTGACAGTTGTGAAGCCTTCCCACACCCACTCAAGGGACTGAGTGAAAGAGGAGCTAATCACACGAGTAAGCCTAGCTGGAGTTAATCTGATGCACAAGGTCATCTTGTTCTTGATCATTATTAGGTGGGGACCCTTGGAGTCAAATTCAAATTGAAATTAAAACAGAGTAGAAGAAGGACTATAAATAAATCAACAGCTAACAAGTATCTCATTGAACCATATTAAAGGGCTTTGTATATTTAATCTGCACACAGCACGCTGTGTCTGGTGGTGATTGATGCTTTTTCATCTTTTTTTGCAGCTTTTATGAGAGCTGATGGTAATCTCCTGAGAAACAATATGATTTGTAATAAAAAGATTACTTGTATTAAATAAAAATAATATATACATAGGAAATGCTGTTAGCGCGACAAATCTGGTTAAAGATATTACCACCACGAAAAAATGTGATTTTTTCCCTGGCTGTCTAATTCATTTTAGGGAAAAGTAATATCTTTAAAACTTAAGCCTGTATTATTTATAAAGGAAGCAATAACTGATTTTCCCATTTCCTATATTAATAAATTTATTTGCATATATTTATATCAGAATTAATGAGTTTTCTCTCTCTATGAATGCAAAAACTGCACTGAAAGGGAAAAAGAGAATCAAGAATTGCTTTATGCCTTTAGATTGCAAGTCGACAAACTCATGGCTTTTCTATAGCTAGATGCAGTAAGTCTCTTTTTTTTTCACCAAAGGCCATACACTGCCATCAGGAATACTGGAAAAATATGCTTTTTAAAATTACAGTTCAGCAGGGTATATACAAAGCCACCAGTCAAAGTGATCTCTAGAGAGAAGTTAGAACTTCCCATGCTTATAACACAAAGTATCACTGATCTTTGGTGATGCTTTAAACCCAAAGACCTCGAAGTGTTTCTAAGAGATGCTTACAAAGGTGCTGAGAAGTAATTACCTGCAGACAGTGCTTCAATGACTGCTCAAGAGTCAGTGCCACTATGAAGAGTAAGAACCCTATTCTCTGTAAGTACCTTTTGAGAGGTAAATGCCAGGAAAGAAGATCAGCCTGCTAGCTGAAATGCAACAGTGGGATAAGAATCAAAAGGGATAAAATCTGAGTTGAATCAAAAGCAAGCATCACTAATTCTTGAGGGTGTGGGGTCCTAGAATGCCTTTCCTATGAAGACACTAAACACAGAAACCTTTGCTGCTTTTTTGTTGTGCTGAGATCAATTTCTGAAAAGAATTCGAGGAGGCACTTGACTAAAGTGAAGTGGACATCACCCGATGAGCCAGTTTTTCATCCATTCCAGTACAATACGCAAAGCACATAAACATTTTTCTCCAGAGTCAGATCTCAATACATTTAATTAAGACGCAAAATAGCAAGATTTGGTAAACTCCTGTACAGTTCCCTTACTAGAGGCAATGCTTCCTCACTGTCACCTTCTGTGGTCAGGTGCAAATCAATTCTTTGACTTGAGAAAAAGGACGGTACGTTAACATCAAATTTTCACCCAAGTTGTTGCATTTCCTTGTCATGTTCATTCAGACTGGCAGTGTGCAGTTATAAGCATAGCTTTTTCACTTTTTAAGATGCTGAGAAGCTTTCACAGCTCCCAGTTCAGTACCCTGCCAAGGTCTTGAGTTTGGGAGTACTCCTTTTCCAACCTGCTCTTGACTTAAGCATACCAGTTCTCAGGTCTGCTGTTTGTTTGACTGCATCTCACAGTTATCAATTCCTATCAAGCCACTATAGGACCAGTCACCTGGGGAAATGTCATCATTGAGCTCAGCTGAACATGCAGCAACATAAAAGCAAAGGAATGAGAATGGAAGAAGTTCAACAGTTTCAGTGGATCCACGTCCAGACAAAATTTTGAGTGCTGCAGATCTCGGCAGCCTTTGAAAATAACTATGCCCACAAAATTGCAGGTTACCTGTTAATCACACACAAACACAGCCACAAAGCAGCTACTCAGACTCAGAACTTGTTATGCATGAAAAGTGTGCCGGTGAGATACAGCCTTTGCAGTTTACAAGAAGAAATAACTGCTCCACAGTCATTCATGACTGCAGCTAACATATGGCTCACAGAGTGCGATGGTTACATTGCCTCAGGTGGTTCACTAACCCATCAGCTACTGCTGGTAACAGCCAATATCAGAGGGCTTATTACTTAATTAGCACAGCACTTGATTTGTATTAGTTCATTAAAAAAAATAAAAAGACCAGCAAAACAGCAAAGCACTTGGAAAGCTGTAGAAAGCATGGCCACCCCTCACCATATATACAGCAGTCTCTGAGTATGGAGTATTCTGGCCTAGCTCCATAAGGATAGGAAGATCTCAGCAAGACGCTCCTTAAAAATACACTTTTGAGGTCCTATCCTCCTGGTAGACCCTGCTATAACACAACACGTACTACAAAAGTGAGGGTAACAACTGTCTGCTATAAACCAAATGTCTGTGCTTGTGCATCACCAACTGCCTGCTGGAAGGGAGCCATCAGGAATTTGGTGCCCCTGCATGCTGACCAGCTGTAAAAGCTAAGGACAGAGCTCAGCTTCCATGAAACTAAATTCCATGGTGGGTACTTTTGACACTATAAAACAGTGCCAAGTTCAGAACAAGCTAGACCAAAATATTCTTTCTGAAGCACTGGATGTCATCTCACTCCACTTCTTCTTCAGGGAGCTGATCCCATGATCCTTATCATTCCCCACCCCAGAACCTTTCCTCATCTGGCTCAGGAATGTTCTTTATGCCACAAGCACCAGCACCAAGTTCTTGCCTGTAGCTGCATTACGGTATGAGCACTTTGGCTTAGAATGCCTACAAGGAACATCTTATTTGCCCCAAAGTCAGAAGCCTATGTTCAGACAGGTAGTAAAACATTATCTAGATGTTTACATGCCTCAGCTCTTACAAAATGCATCAGAACTAAATAATCCTTCTCCCTCAGAAAAAATAGCTCATCACACATCAATCACACTCCCATTAAAATATTTCTGATGAATTCAACAGACACAGCACAGAGCCTTCAGTAAGCCCAGAGTCCACACAGAGTGTACAGAAAATGTCAAAAGAATTCATCCTCCTCCATTACACAACCACTATAATGTGTTACATGGTTCATGACAAGGTGTAGGGAGGAAGCTATCTTGCCCCCTTACCTGCAGCGCACAGAAGGTCTGGGTAAATGGCTCCATTCGGACCAGGTAAGATGCCACTATAATTGCTGATGAATAGTGAGTGCAGTAATGACACTGGGCTGAGAGGTCTCCTGGGAATTGGACACAGATTAGATTTCAGTGCAAAATATTATCATTTCAAACCCATAGCATCCGGTTAACACAGCACAACTAAATAGGTAACAGGTCTTTAAGCAGATGTTCAAGGATCTGTGAGCAGAAGCATACCTTGCATATTTGCATTGAATGTGCACAGTTACTACCATCTCTATTTTTGCCTTCCACGTTTTATTTTCTGAAGAATAAGATCTTCAATTTTCCAGACTATTCCCTTCTTTATTATTATCAAAAAAAGTCTTGATCATCAGAGGTCAGCAGCCTCAACATCCTGTTTCCTTTTTCTTACATACAGCTTCTACATACAGCTTAGCTAACAGACAAGACTAATGCTTGAAGTGTAGATAACAGGGCAGTCTTTTCTAGGGAACTTTGCTTTTGTCTGCAGCATCTCTTCCTGCCCAAGGGAAGATGACAGAATGCAGCAATACAAGGCACATAAGGCAGTGCTTGCAGAAGTAATTTCTCTTTGAATCCTCAACCAGTTCACATCCAGAAGAAGGTGGATCTCCCTGGCATGGTGCTTCCCTTAACCACAGCTCTGGAAAGTTTTTGGGTGTCCTTTTCCAAGGGATTAACCAGCACTCCCAAAGGCCTGAAGGGACTCAAGCTTCTACTGCTTGTTACTCTCTTAAAACACTCACCTTCACTCTTTTCCACTTCACTGTAGCGCTGGATGAACTTGTGTTTCCTCTCCACAGTCTGTGCTCCCATAGGCTTTGACAGGTCCCGAAATGTACGAGGATTAGTAAGGTTTAGTGTCTGAAAAGCAAAACCAGCAAAGATGTGGATTGAGTCTTAGACATTGTGATTAGCTTAGTGACACTGGACAGCAGCAAGGCTGTGTTAGAAGTTTCATCTATACAAGGTCACAGACTCAGTATTAAAACATCCATCTCCAGAACTGGGAAGAGACTTGGAAAAAGACTGTCAGCATGTGCCACTGAGAGGATAGTATGTACAAGGAGCTTCACAAATAAAGGACCTGGCAGGTTGCAAATTGCTCTCAAGACTTTTCTGTCCAAACCTCCTTGTCTAGGGTCACAGAAACCTGTCCCTGCCTACCTGCTGAGCCCATGCAGCCTGGCCTTACCTAGGTATTTATTTAACAGATGTTCATCCACCTTTCTGACCCATAATGTGATCCTCAGCATGCCGATTTGAAGATAAGGCTAAGCTGTAAATAATCGGTACAGTTCTAATTAACTATCTCAAAATTTGAACCCTTGGTCTAGACCCCTCTGCTTTGATGGCACCATTCAACAAATCTTTGTATGGTTGCTATCATAGAAAGTACAGAATGCTGCAACAAGCACTGACCTCGGAGTGATAGTCGGCAAGGACCCATGGAAACACAGGATACTGCATGTAATCATTGTAGCTGCGGCCAGCCAATGTGTTCAGGTACATGAGGTAGTCAAAGTTGCTGATCTCCCTCTTCTGCCAGGGAAAAGCAACAAGCATTAAAATCTCCTAACTCCACTCCTGAAAACCATACCTCAAAGGCACCCTCAGAGCCCTGTGGTTTCCAGGTCCAACAGGACAAGAATTATAAAAAGTGTAATCCATCACCCATTGCCATTCAGATCAGCACAGTATCTCTTATACAACAATCCAGTCAACAGAATCTGAGTCTTCATTATGGCTCTTCTTCAGACAGGCCATTTGCATTTGTCTACAATCACCCATTGCTTTCATGCTATCTTTGCATAACAGCACTTTTTTCCAATGTAAAAGTGAGCTAAATGCATGCAGTCTGTATTGGAAAATCCCGAACACCTGCCTGTACAGAAAAGGCCACACAAAGTGCAACATATAAACTAGAAGTTATAGATCTCTTCCGTGTGTCTTGGGTCACCAAGACCAAGGGTACAGGAAAGTAAATGCATCTCTCAGCTCAGCAAAACATCTGGGAAAACAAGAGGTACACTGGTTTAGATGTACAGATGATTTGTGAACAGTCATTCAACTAGGTGGCTCTCTTTCGTTTCAGTTTAAACTGTGCACAAAATCACACTTATTTTGCTGGACAGTAGCACCATATGTTTAACAGCAGGAGGAGCAAAACCTCTGCAATAACCAGATGTAAATACTCTTGCCAGTAACCTCACCTCCAGCAGCGACAGAACAGCTTAGGCCTTGAAGTACATGCCGACATGCACACGTATCTGTGTCCAGACACACAGACAGGCGCTGAAATTCTTTGCTTAACCATGTGCAGCCAAGATTTAGCTTACCTGCCACTTCTGGAGCATTGTCTTTTCCCCTCCTGAGTATTTCCTGCATGGAGTAAACATTTGATTGAAATAGCCTGCTTCAGAACAGTAACAGAAAGTCAATACATTAACTTCTGTGCTCCCTGTTCTCATCCCATAGAAACGAGAGAACATCAACACCAGAATAATGTTGAGGTTTCATCACTGACCACATAATTCCCAAATCATCCCAAATTCAGAGCGTCATTAGTTAGGTTAGTGCTGCACAATACAAATTTAATGTCTGATGAATAGGGTTGGCTTAGCTTCAAATAGCTTATGACTTAACCACTGCCGGTCACTCTCTCTATGACATGCCGACTGTCCCTAAGCCAGTTTGCTCCTGAATGAAGTGCCACTTAAAGTATGATATTAATTAAATAAAAAAGAAGTAAGTAGGGAGGTAGTGCTAAGAATGGATTCTGTTTGCCTTAAGATATTGCTGCAAACCGTGGTGGTGATGCCACATGATCCTGCAAGAATTCAGAAGTTGACTTACAGGCACAGAAGACGCCCCTGCAGCAGAGGCAGGTGGACAGCTGGGGACAGCAACCTCCTCAGCTGTTCCGAGCCAAGCCACACTGCGAATTAGCTTGTGCTCCCAGTCTCATCCCACTGTCGAGCTAGAGTGCTAGTGACAGGCACCATTCAAGCTGTCTCCTTCTATTATGAAGCCTTATTTTCAAAGGCTCCTGCTTTTCTGAAGCATTCTGAAAATCCTAGCTTGAAAATAGAGGTGTCTCAGTCTCCATATCAGATACTCGTTTTGCATAATGCACTTTGAAACTAATGTAGACCTTAAAAAGTGAGTTGCTGTTTTAATATTTTTTTTAAAGTAATCACTATGTTTTTTTCCACTTTTCTTGTTCTCAAAAGGTTACCTTTTACTGAAACTTTAAATAAAAATTCACCCACTGAAGGCAGATTCTAAAAGGGAATTCACTTGAAATGGTGAACTTGAAAAGGTTCTGAGCAAATAAAGGTAACATTTCAACTACACTGAGCTAGAAGGTGTGTCACCATCTGACAGCCATGGACTGGCTCTTGACAATTCCTAGAGACCAAACTGAGACAAATGATAGTTTCTGGATTAAAGAAACTTTCTATCTGCCAAAGTACACAAGGTTATTGACATATGATATAACTGCTGGTAGGAGGCACTTTTCCCTTTGAGCGTACGACTTAAAACTCCTCCTGAGGTGCCAGCTCAGAGACAGGATACTAACTTCCTGAAGGAAGGAAGCAAATCAGTTCAGCCATAGATTATAAAAATGCTACAGCCATAGCTAGCTACTATTTTGCACTCTTGCACTCTGTACTGGATAACACCAGAAATCCACAAAGCCAGGCTTAAAGTAGACTCAAAGATCTAAATAGAACACCAGAATGATCTATGATTATTACAGTTTTACTGAATTTGCAGTAGTAAATTCTCGTAAACTGCCTCTCGTGATTACGAATCATTATTTTACTCCTGGACCAGTTAATAGCATTCATAACACCAAGGTTTACTCAACACTGCATTTCACTCCTTGCTTAGGTGCTCTCTTCAGAGCAAAGTGTGTATCTGAGGAAGGGATTTTTGCATAGCCTAAGTAATAACTTACTCCACGAACAGACATGAAACCCAGGACCAGTTCTAGGTCATGGTCTAGAACTCCTACGGATTAGCATATGAAACCTAACAATGATAGGCTATATTTACAGAAACCAGGCAACAGAAAAAGGTGTAGTTCATATCTGAAATAGGAAAACAGAATCTTCACTCCAAAGTGAGTCCAAAAATATAGTAGATTATAAGATGGTCTAATTTACACAATGTAAATCAGAAAAAAAGTCCACCGACTAGAGTCATGGCGGTTTTGCACCACCAGTTTGAGTCACATGTAGCTCACGAACGTAAAAATTCCAAAGTAGAAAACAGATATCATGAGCACTTACCCTTTACAGCCCTCTTGAACTATCTGTAGATTTTACAGAGCTTTGCCACACTGGCCTTTGTAAGATCTCCAGCAGACATTTGGAACTCAAAGCAGTATCTCAGAGGGATGGAACGGGACCAAGATTCTTGGCATCATTTGAAGTGTGGTTGGATTAGGGTGTTTGCCACAGAGGGATCGGGTTAGGTTCCTCTCTTTCCACAGGGGCAGACAGACTCACTAAAACTGCCCAGGTCTATTTTCGATTTATGGCTGAGTTGGAAAGCAGGGGGTTACGTAACACACAGACCTGCTCAACCCCTCAGTCCTTCAACATTTTCAAGTGAGAGCATTATATGGGAACTAAAAATGTATACGGGACTAAACTGAGCCAGTCCGTGTGGATGTTTTGCAAATATATATAATATATGGTCACTTGTGGGTACCATGACCCTCAAGTAGAATTCTTGTTGTGCTTGTCGCAAGCCCTAAACAGCCAATAAGGAATCTGCAAGGGTCAAACCCGTTCTCTCTCTGCTGACTTTGGAAGCCCCTATATAACTAAAAGAGGTTGACAAGTTCACCACATCATGAAAATATACAAGGCTAAATGTAGTACACTCCCCTGTAAGAGTCATCCTTCTCTGTCTCAGGGGACAAGGCTTCTCCCAAGTCCCCAGAGATCTGGAATTCTGCGCTCTCCCTTGGCAACTCACAGGGGTTCAGAACATGAATTGCATTACAGGCGGCCCAACCCTACTCCTCCCTTCTTCTTGTTAATCAACCAGCATTTGTTAGCCAACACGTCTCTAGCCAGCACAGCAAAAGCTCAAAGCAGATCAACTGCAGCTACCCAAGTGTAGTAAGTGCATTAGGAAATAAATAAATAACAAAGACTGTTTTGAAAAAGAAACAATAGTGCTTTATAAGTGTAAACAAGTAAACTTCAAGAGGGGGTGAAGTCAAGAGAAGTACTAACGTATCTATCTCTGTCTAAATCTGTAAGGTATTTCTAGGGCACTAGTCATGGCAGAATCTAAGCATGATGTGTACTAATGATGATCCACCTTTGGCTACACTATACATAAGTGATTTATTAATCTCTCTTCCATTAACATCAGACTATGATCTCACTCTTGTGATAGCCAGAGTTCTCCATTTGCGAGAGACAGGTGGACCTCAACCCATTTGGAGATTCATTGCAGATGAGAGAGTCTCAAAGGATAAGATTTTTTCCCCCATTGAAATTCATACCGAAATTCCAGAAAACTTAGTTACATTCTTAGACTTCACAAAGCTGCTTTCATCTTCTTTTGTCTTCCATCTCCAGACTTCTTAAGTCTGCAAAACAGTGCCAAGGCTCCCCTAAAACGACTTTTCTTTTCTTAAAGAATCTTTGCATTACCAAAAATATTGTGAGGTACATCCCCTTCCTGCTAAGGGAACCACAACCTAAGTCCAAGCCCTACTATTAAGAGAGGAAAGAAGAGGTCAGCTTTCTCTGTGAATCAATCAAGTCTCTCTCAAACCTCAGAAATGTGTTATGTTAGATTACTTTAGAAAAAAGGTACAGGGTCCTCCTTGTTTGATTGTACCAGTTCACCTTCTGGGTATTCTTACTCTCTGCTCAAAGAATACAGATATAATACAGAATTTATAAATAAGTATAATATTAAAGTAGGGCTTTTTAAAGTAGGATGTCTTGAATGGCTAGAGAGGAAGAAAGGAATCTCCCTTGCAGGGCACTGTTTGCACCATGTATATTCACAGGCTTGGACCAGACAAAGGGTAACATTTTCACTCTGGAAATGCTGTACCCAGGCACACCTCAGCTCATGGAAGAAAATTATCAAGTAAATTTAATTAATTTGTTAAGGTGAGCAGAACACAATCTCTAACCCTGGAATCAGGCAAGAACATCAACATTATCAGCTTCTTTATGCCAATAATATCCTTGATCCATTATCAGCAAGAAAGGGATCTCTGTGTTGCATCTCCCGTGAACAATTCCTGCCACAAAGCACACGGCTATTTCTCTTCTATAGCTCTTTTTTTCCACATACTATTTTGAAATTCTTGCAACCAGTTACTAAAAACTTAAGCTTGAGCTTGGAAGCCACAGTCATAGGGACAAATTACAGTAAATTCACATGCTAGAAAGGGGAATCACACCAACTGCCCTTTTGAAGCATCACAGATAGATTAATATAAACTGCAGTTCATATCCTCTGTGCTGCTCTGCTGAATGAGCCTTCCCGCCTGTGTCCATGTCTATCTGATCTGGCACGTGCTAAGGAGGGTACCACAAATGTGAGTTTTAACACACACATACAAGTACCTCACACTGTGTTACAGCCAGGTAAAATGAAATAGCCAAATTACTTAAATGGACAGTTAAGGCAAAATTAGAAGTTGACAAAAGAGCTTCTAACCAGGTCCAGATGCTTTTTCTTTCTGCATAATTTAAAATCCAACATTTCTAGTCACTGCATGCAGTTCAGTTCTTTTCCCTCCGGCTTGAACTTGCATGCTGGAACCGAACATTATGCTAATGAACCTAGCATTGTTGTTGCTTAGGAACAGAAGTTTCACAGGCTGTGGAAGGAGCACTGAGAATAGGGAGACACTGCAGCTGGGAAAGTCCTTTTTGCCACTCCTCCTCCCCCTCACACTCACACACACAAGTTTCTGGAAGGACTGCCATTTTCCCTCTAGGAGTTACAAGTCAGAATTTGCGGGACTGTGAAGAGGAAATTATCCTGTGCTCCCCGCTCACAGGTTTATTTACAGACTGAAAGACTATTTCATTACTCAAAGAGTGAACAGAGGACAACTGCACAGTAACAGAACATGAAGGCTCATCTCGCGTTACTGAGAAAAACAAGCAGCTTGTGACATCTGTACCTCTCCTTCTGATTCTTCCTAGCTGCTAGCTGGTAAGATCTTGTGGAGGGGGGTAGTCTGGCAGAATTGTTAAGATGAAACAATATTTTTGTTTATTCTCGGTGGGCCTTGGTTTTATAAGGGACCTTGTACTGTGTGATAGCAGAGTGGCTCTGCTCTAAAAAAGTAAAAGAAAAT